TTATTGTTCTGGACCAAGTTGCCCTGCTAAGGAGTAGATTGCAATCGCACTTTCCCGGGGTTTTCGGAGATAGATTTAATACATGCTCTATGTGTGTACTTGTAAACTATTACCATCTGGAGAAATCCTTGATTCTGTAGCTAGTAGGGAGTGCATAGTAAAATGATTCAAAGTAGTTTCAAATGTTTATAGCAGATGCTTGGTGAAAAAGAGTTGAAACTGCTTAAACGAAATGACTTGTTTTTCTGTTGAAGGTAATGTGTAGAGCTGGGGTTTTTTTGTTTCTATCATTTTGATGCTTTATTGACTGTACATTTAACTTTCAAAATTAGTACTTGCTTTATTCTTGAAGGAAAGTCATCACACTTTGTTGAAAATGTAAATGCTGTCGCTTTTGTTGTAAATAAGATGTCCTTTAATAATTAATCTTTGAAAAACATTTCCCCATTATATGTCACACATGACTGATAATGCAGAAAGACAAGAAAGAAATAGCCCTTTACACCCCCAGACATGCTTATGTGACCATTCTACCTTTAGAAAAGAATGAACAGAAGTGATTTTCTGAGAGCCAGGAGTAGCCATCTTTTCTAAGAGTACATGAAACTTCCGGAGCGTATTTAGAAAGAAAAGATTTTAGGACACACTGTTGAAATTTTGTATGGGAAGAGAATTACAAGGTCAGCTAAGAACACAGCATGTCAAAACTATTTTATGCTTTCTAACAGCAAGGATAACCATTCCAAGCTAACTTAGTTGGATGTTAAAGACAGTATAAAGCTTCACGCAGAGTAGTTCAAAGCCTTTGACTAAAAGAAAAGGGAATTAGTTTAGGGAACAAGTTAAACCATGATTATACATCAAATACACTCTCTCTAAGAAAACAATTTTAAAAATCTAGTATCTGTCCGCACCAAAGAGCTGAATAAAAGCCAAATAAAGCTGTACCCACAGTAGAGCACAGTAAATTATGCATAATATTTTGTAGAATTCCTAATTCATGTGACACACATGCATTTTTTTTCTTTTATGTATTATACTTTTCTCTAGAAAAAGAAGCAATTGAATTACAAATGATGAAAAGATGTTTTAGTTTATGTTTCTCTTTTGTTTTCATCTCAATAGTCTGTGGCTTTTGCTAAGGAAATGATTAATCTGCTAATGGTAAGAAAAAGAAATTGAGCTTTAATCCTTTTGCTAACAGTGAGGTAGTTTTTCATTTTAAAGAAAGTAATTAAGTTACTAAACTGCACACAAGTCAAATCACTTTATCCCTAGAAACTATGAAACAAGTTGGCAATCTATGGGTAGAATTTCTTACCACACACCATCTGACTAAAACTTCCAGGGCCTTCTTAGTTGAAACTGGGATCCATGGGTAGAAAAATAATAAAGTGACCTTGATACGTCTACTCTCTTTGTGAGGCACCTCAGGATTCTCAAATTAGGAGTCTTGTTAAAATGATGTTCTTGTTGTAACCATTATAATATTCCCCCTTTCTTTTGTTCTTTTCTTGTATTCTGATGTTTTCTGTCTTTCAGAGAGAGATATTTTTGCTATAGGGCATGTGCACTTGCCAGAGAGACAGAAAGCGAGAAATCATCCCCCCCAGCAGAATGGCCACACACAATCCCTTCTCTTCCATTCTCCTCTCAGGATTTTGGGCATGCACACACATGGGCCCAGCGTGAGTTTTAAGCTGCCAGGTCTAGGACTTGAATCATGGTCGACTGCATGAGAGTCCAGCAACATAACTATTATGTCATCTGCTGGTCCTGGTGGTGTTTTCCTAATGCCACACCTCACCCTACTCTACCCCAAAGACAGAGGAAGAAAAAAGAGTGTTCATTACTCCACATACGAGGACTGGAAGGTGTGAATGAGAAGGGGAAAGGTGCAAGTATGAGCTGGTTCTAAGATAGGCCTCTAACTGTGCAGCTCTGTCTAAATGCCATGGTACTCCCAGGCCTGCCCAAATGCAATATTCATATCAAAAATATTTAAGATCAATAATACTAATTTAAGGAGGCAGTTTAGCAGAGGGAGTAAGAGTGTCAGCTCTGAAGTAAACTGTGCAAGTTCAAGGTGCCAGACCCAAGATGGCTAACTCCACAGCTAAGCCCCAGACCCAGCAGCTTGAAAAACATGTTGGGCATGTGTTCCTATGTGCCCAGGATCTGAGGAGAATAAAGGAGAAGGGATCACAATGTGGCCACCCTCCCTGGAGGGTGACTACTTTTTTCCCTCTCATTCTGTCTCTGTTGTCTCTTTCTGGTGAGTACACTTCCCTATGCCCCCCCCCAAAAAAAATGTTAAAAAGCAGAAAAACTTACTTCTTGTATCTCTTTGCCTCAATTTATTGGTAAAATGGACATAATAGTAATACTTCACTCACAGATTTATTATGAGGCTCCATAGAGGTGACCCACAGAGAGAATCCATATAAGGCACAATGAATTACCTGTGAGCTCCTACTACATGCCACATGCTTTTTTTTTCTTTTGGAGAGGTTTTTGCTATAGGGCGCGTGCGCTCGCCAGACAGACAGAGAGAGACAGAGGGATAGAAAGCGAGAAATCACCCCCCCGAGGGGATGGCCACACTGCAATCCCTTCTCCTCCATTCTCTTCTCAGGATCTTGGGCACACACGCACACGCACCCGGTGTGAGTTTAAGCCACTGGGTCCGGGATTCGAACCGCGGTTGACTACGTGGGAGTCCAGCGACATAGCCATTACGCTAACTGCTGGTCCCGCCACATGCTTTATCTGAATCATCTGGTTCGACTACAGCACCTCTTCAAAGTAACTTGGATTATCCTCATGATATAGAAGAGGTGCAGAGTTGTTAAACAACTTTTTTAGATTCTTTGTCAGTGGTCAACCAGGACTTGTGGGAGTCTGTCACCCCCAACACAAAGGGAATCCATTTAGGTTATGCCTGCTACACTGGTTTCATGGCACTGTCATCTGGAATATCATCTGAACTTTTCGTACCCGGATCAACCCCAGGCTGGTTTTGCTTCTTGGAATGAAAGCATGGTACCCAGAAAATAATGACAATAGCGTGTGTGCCAGATGTAACGGTTGTGCCTATTTTATACACAAGAAAAATTGAGGATCAAAGAAATCCCATCTTTCTCTAAACTGGAGAGACCCACTCATGCCACTTTTTCTAATTATGAATCTCACACTGTAGTCGCAATACTGCGTTTTCCACTCTGTCTCAGGGAGTGTTGATCGATGCTGCCTGAGATTCCCAGATGCTTCCTCCAAGATCCTTCTGAATGCCGGCCAAAGTGAGCTGTGAAAAGAATAGGAAACTGCGTTCTCCCTTTTCTACTCCCTAAGGTGGGAAAGATGATTTCAAATGTCCAGTGAGGAACAATTTGCCATCTCTCTGCCAAAAGATATTATCAGCCAAAGTATTCAGTGTCTAGGGAAATTCACAGCTTATGAATAGTTTACCTTGTAGCTTTTCTATGAAGATAAGGACTGGTTATCTATGCTGCTAAGCTCATTTCTATTACAAAAATGTAGCCAGTAGCTTTGCCTACATGTTTGAGAAGAAAAATCTTTGAGAATAGAAATCAGAACTTTTTACAACTCCAGAGAACCAACATAACTGTGTTACCTTCGTGGTGTTAGGTACAGAGGTCTACCTGGACCCTGGCTCTCTGAGGCAGTGTGGGTATTTTCCTAAGGATAGAGCATGAACACCCAGAAATGACATGACCAGGTTGGGACCATGACTTAAAGAGGAGGTAGTTCCTTGTGTCCCTTAACTTGTCCCCACGTTGCAACTTGTCAAATGTGTATTGTCACGTCTATTACACAGCTGCTGCTGCAATGCCACAAGCTTGCGTGGGCCTCCACTGCAAGAGAGGGAGATGAGAAACTGAAGGGCCAAGGGCTTCTCAGAATTTAACACAAGACATACAGACATTTGAGCCATTGTGGGAAACAAGACCAATTACAGCTGACAAATGGGGGCTTGTCACTTTTAACCAGTCGATCATACAGGACAAGTGAACAGCTCTGCATGTTTTAAGAATGAATTTAGTTCTAATACTGGATCAGGGAGATGTTACCCTATAGAAAGAGCATTACAGATTTTTCTGGCAACTTCCACCTTAATGCTCTTCTGAGCACCTTATTTGGTGTCATGAGAGATTCTCCAACTATTTCAAATGTTGGTAAAGAAAGGGATAAAGGGATGCAAGGTGGGCACTCTTCTTTAGAACAAAAACCATAGAATATGCCAGAGTATGCTTTGTCCATCTGGAAACCTAATCTTGGGTGTGGGACTTCTGGGTACAAAGCCCATTCTATGAAGCTGCATTTGCTATGCTTAAAGGCATGTGAGACGCAAGAAAACATGCCATCTTACTCCCTTCCAGAGGCACTACCTCCACACTTCTGGACTATGATGAAGACATTTATCTTCTTCATGTTTCTATTTCTTTTTCTTTTTCCCTCTTCGTACTTAAGCTCTGCTAATTGTGATTCGAGAAAAAGCATGGTGATGGATTAGGACTTTTGGGTTATAATATTTCCCTACCATTTTTCTTTCCTTCTGCAAGAAAAATCTAATGGAAAGGTCAACCATAAAAATCTTGTTTTATTTAGATGTATTTCTTCCCACCACTAAAGTCTTGTTTTCTATTAGGTCATAGACATACAGTTCTATCTCTCCAAGTACATTTTCCCTGTAGATAGCATCAACTTTCTGTCCTACAAAAAAAAAAAACATTATGAATTTGTATATGGTTTCATTGCTTATTTTTTTATTGTGGTCATTTCCTTTAACTATCAATATGATAATGTTAAACCTAATCAGCAGGTTCTGGGGATAATTGACTTATTATACTCAGTGTTTATATGTGAGATAACCATAATTTCCACTAGCCCATTTGGTGATTATGACACTTTGCTTCCTAATTAAAAAATATTTAAAGGTTATGTTCACCTTTCTTCTCTCTTTTATTTTTTTTTTTCAGGCTCAGAAGTCCTGGATAGAAAGAGCATTTTATAAGAGAGAATGTGTTCACATCATACCCAGCACCAAAGACCCCCATAGGTAATCTTGCTGTCTCTAATGTATTGAGAATATAAAGTAGTAATTACAGGAACTAACTGCAAAAGTAATCACTACCCAGTGTGAGGAAACCACCGTCGAATTACAAATATTTTTAAATTGTTGCTGTACATCTTTGAAGCAATCTCATATAGATGCACTGCGTAATAGCCATGCTTACAGTTCATTCTTAGCGTAAGAGCCTACACAGAATAACTTATGTATCATTGCAGAAAGTGTTAATCACTTTATTTAACAACAGATTTCTGTCGTTTTTATGTTTACTGGTTTCTCCTCCTGAGTGTTTGGTCCAAATGCTTAGCTTGAAAATCATGCTCTGCTTTAGTGAAAAAGAAACCTTTAAGTTAAAGACTGATGCATTATTAATCAGATTGTAGATCTTAGGTTCCCATTCAAGCAGAGGGTATTTTCAGTACCCTATTTGCATTTCTGAAGATCTGTAATACGGGAAGCATTTGGGATAAAGTAACATATATACGTCTAAAAATGCCTTTATGGAGAGGTTTTGGTTTTTTGTTTTTTAAATTTTTTTAATTTTTTATTATTATTTTTTTTGCTATAGGGTGCGTGCGTTCGCCAGACATACAGAGAGACAGAGAGATAGAAAGCGAGAAATCAGCCCCCAGGGGGGATGGCCACGCCGCAATCCCTTATCCTCCATTCTCCTCTCAGGATCTTGGGCACGCACGCACACACGCCTGGCGTGAGTTTAAGCCACCGGGTCCAGGACGCAAACCGTGGTCGACTACGTGGGAGTCCAGCGACATAGCCATTACACTAACTGCTGGTCCCTAGAAATGCCTTTATGAACAGACAACTTAATAAGGTAGTTTGAAATGTGAAACCAGGGCCAGCAGATGGCATGATGGTTAAGGTGCTGGACTCCCATGTATACTAACATGGTTTAAGTCCTAGACCTGGCAACTGAAAAATTATGCTGGGCACAAGTGAGTACATGCCCAAAATCTCAAGAGGAGAAGGGATTGTGGTGTGACTATCCCCTCTGGGGTGTGATTTTCCACCTTCCCTCTCTCTATCTGTCTATATCCTCTCTAATGAGTACATACACCCTATGACAAAAACAAAAACAAAAGAAAGAAAAGAGAAAAAAAGAAATATGAAGTCACCAAGTCATAAGGACTAGTTGTACAACCTTGGAATGTTTACTTATCCTTCAAAATGACACTATTTCATTCATAAAATAATGCTAAATTGTTAGTGTTTAATAAATGGTAACCACATATTGTAACTATTACTACTAATAGTCATAACACTGGTGGCAGTAATGTATGAAGGACATTTTCATAATAGGAGTGAATTTTAAGTTTTCAAATATCTTGTGAATTTTCCTTCATTGTTTCATCAAGAGCACTTAAGCCTGCTGGCTTTTATTCTGACAATTGGATATTTGACAGCAAATGTCAATTGGGAAGAGACAAGGTGGGTCGTGACTCACATATGAGTGAGATTCCTCATTTAAGTGTGCATGTTAACATTCTTCCTGTGAAGCTCTCCAGTGTCCTTAGTGCACGATTTGATAGATGGGTAGAGTGAAAAGGAGAAAGCTCTAGAGAGCCGTTGTTCACAGGGGTCCCATCCTAAACATGTCAGGTGTGAGCAGCCGTGGGTGGAGAAGGACAGAGATATGGTGTGGCTTCTGTAGCTAAATGAACATGGGGAGGGGGAGAAAAGGAACGGAGGAAGGTCTGAGCTCATCAGATGCCTGCCGCAGTCACATTATGTGATCCACCCTGAGAACTGACGGATAGGGGCCGATGCAGATTGCAGGTTTTGCAGCAGGTTGCCTTTAGTGTAAATTCCAATGGTGGCGAATCAATAAAGGGGTTCTCTTTAACCTCTTCTGTTGTAGGTGTTGCTGTGGGCGTCTAATAGGCCAGCATGTTGGCCTCACTCCCAGTATCTCTGTACTTCAGAATGAGAAAAATGAAAGTCGCCTCTCCCGAAATGACATCCAGTCCGAGAAGTGGTCCATCAGCAAACACACTCAACTCAGCCCGACAGATGCTTTTGGGACCATTGAGTTCCAAGGAGGAGGCCATTCCAACAAAGCCATGGTAATCAGAAAGTGGTTCCATCACTCCCAAAGTAGCTTGAGTCCCACAAAGGAGCAGTTTAAAAACCCAGGGAGTCTTGGGGTCTAATCTGTACTCTGCAATTCCTGATGGGGTGATCTGTGTGACTCGGATCTTCCTCTGTAAAATGAGAGGAGGAAAACCTGTCTCCCGGGATTTTAAAAAATAATTACTACAAGGTCATAGGGCCAGCAGGTGGCATGGGGTGTTGGACTACCACATGTCCAACCATGTTTGAATCCTGGACCTGGTGGCTTGAAAATCATGCTAGGCACATGTGCATCCATGCCCAAAATCCTGAGCAGCGAGTGGTAGAGAAAGGATTATGGCGTGGCCATCCCCTCTAGGGAGAGTGATTCCTCACTTTCTCTCTCTCTGGCAGGCATATACACACCATGGTAAAAACCTAAAAAAAAAGATAATAAAATTAAAATAATTAGTATAAGATTAGACACAGTGATTGTTATTAACAATAATAAAACAAATAGCTTCCTTCATATGTAACTAGTTTTATTATGTTATTATGTCATTGTCTGTCTCATCTATTAATACACTTTTCTAACTCCTTTTTCTCCCTTTGGTGGAAAAAATGTTACTTTAGGTTTCTGTTTTGTTCTGTCAGTAATTAGCATTTCTCTCAATTCAAGGTGTGAGTGGGCATCCTAGCTTATTTCCTTCCCGATTATAACAGAGATCTTGCCATATAAATCGAGTTTTGTTTTCACTCCAAGCAGCTATGTTCAATAATGCTCTCAATAGAAGGGACCCACATGAAAAGGTTTTTTTGGAGGGGGAAGGAGAGTTTAAGAAATACATCAATTTCATTTCTAAGAATTGTCACTTCTAAATTTCAGCTTTCATCATGGACCGCTCCTTTTTGCCTGACATAGTTTTGCCAAGAGAAAAGTATAACATGTGTTTTTGAAATTCTAAAAATGCTATAGTCCAACAAGCTGGCTTCTAACTGTTAGAAGAAAGTGTGAGCGGAGGGTGGAGCAGCTGGAGGGGGCTGTGCTAGGTATGGTATAGGGTTTTCTGATTTTGAAAAGGGAATTTTGCTTAGAGAAGCACATCGCGAAACACAAGGGGAGTCACCTCCTGAGTTAGTCCAAAAAGGTGCAATGAAGCTACCTTTCTTTTATATTCTCTGTCTTCCTCTCTCCTCTCCTCTGTCTTCTTCCACCCAGCCCCACTGCAGTAATTTCTTTACCAAGAATAGCTAACTGAGCTAGTCTCACAGTTCTTCCTTAAGAAAATTGATTTTGAGCTATATGTAAATTAAAACTACAGTTCTGGGCTATGAGAGGAAAGGTTGTCATTTGCAACCTTCAGGAAGGCTTAGGAAAACAAGTGAGTCAGGTTAGCCTTGCTTGTACCAAACTAAAATAAATGGAAATTTGTCACCGCCTCACTCACTTAAGGGACTTATTTGCCCACAAGACCATTAAATATCTTCGACTTAGTTCAGTCCCCATTCATAGTACAGGATTGAGCTGTGTACAATGTAGATTTTTCTGGAATCATGCATTAAAAGTCATGCACTTTTCTCCATAAGAAAAGTGCTCAGAGCTGACCCCTTATTCAGGTGACTAAGGGAGCTGGACCCCATGTGGTCAATCAAGCATGATGTTCAAGTCTCAGACTTGGCAACTTGAAAAACATGCTGGGCATTGGGGCCAGCAGATGGCATGACAGTTACATTGCTGGACCTCCACATGGCCTATTGTGGTTCTGATCCCAGACACTGTAGTTTGAAATTCACACCTGGTGCATGGGCATGCATGCCCAAGATCTCAAGAAGAGAATGGTGAAGAAAGGATAGCATGGCCATCCCTCCAAGTGGGCTGATTTCTTTCTCATTGTCTTTGTCTCTCTCTCTCTCTCTCTCTCTCTTTCTCCAGTGATCACACATGCCCTCTCAGGGAAAAAAAAAAAAAAACATGCTGGGCGTATGCTTATGTACCCAAAATCTTGACAGGATGAAGAAATGAAGGGGAAGGGATTGCAGAGTGATCACCCCACTGGGGAGTGCTTTCTGCCTCTCCCTCTCTGTCTCTCTAGCCATCTCTGGCAAATGCATGTACTCTCTGGCAATTTTTTTTAATAAAAAAAACAAAGAAGTAGAAAACTACAAATGAGGAAGTGGCTTGCTGAGCAATACTCATTATGGAATGGTGCAGCCAGTGCCTTCACAGAGGACTTATAAGGCGCCTGCAGCGTCAGGCCATAGCACAGTGGCACAAAGTAGGCATCTGGTCATCACTGCCATCGCTAACATTCAGTGTCAAATATGGAGTGTAACTGTGCACATAAGTGAGAGCAGCCTCCAGAGTCACTGCCTTGGGAAACTAGTTACCAGATGCGACCACTGTCCAAATGTGCACTGATTTGTCTTTTGGAAACTGATTTCAGACCACTTATTGATCACAAGAGAAAAGTGTTTATATTTTTATTAAATGAGAGTTGTTATTGGATTTTTTTTAGAATTATTTACTTAATTCTATTTGTTATTGTTGCTATTATTTTTTTAAATTTAATCAGAGAGAGAGAGAGAAAGGGAAAGCAAGAATGCAAGTTGGTAGGTCCAGGACTCGAACTGCAGTCAACCGTGAACCACCACGCCACCTACTGGCCCCAGTTTTTATTGGAAATTAATCTCAAGTGCATGCAATTTATAAAACTTATAGCTTGGTCACAATAACTTCTGCCAGTGTTTCATAAGCCCAGTCTATTCTCTAAAGAAAAAGTTTTTACCATGAATAATATCTAAGAATGAAGTATTAGTTCTGACTCTGCCAGTGACACACTCATGAGGCCAACTCTCAGGTGAGGCCTCTGAGGTTCAGGATGCCCTACATGGCCTCAGAGTAGGCAAGTCTTTCTTTCTTTCTGAGTCTAACTGACCAAAATTGGGCCATTCTTCTTTTTTGTTACAACCAAATATTAACAAGTGGAAGTCCCAATGATTCATCCACACAAAAATGAGCATGTTGTTCACTTTGAAAACTTACCTTGAATTATTCCAGTACTACTCTCTAGACAAGGGGCAGAGCTGTGCACAGGCCAGAGATGTCATGCATCAGGCAGGACAGTCATGTGTCCCAGCCAGTGCCATCTGTGCCACCCATTCTCTCAGACAAACCGGCATGTGTTTGAACAAGAGGGGAATCGGCAACCTCCGCCTGTCAACGAATGCCACTTTTTACACGGGGAAGGCATGGCTAATTAATTCCCAAGATCTAAGTCAAACAGACCAACTAACTTCATTTTTTAAAAGTGTTTTGCTATAGGGCATGTGTGCTTGCTGGGGAGGGAGAAAGAGAGAGAGAGGAAAGAAAAGAGCCACCAGGTCATCCTACAATCCTTTCTCCTCCACTCTCCTCAGGATTTGGGGCATGCACACACATATGCCCGGTGTGATTTTCAAGTTGCTAGGTCCAGGACTCGAACTGGGAAGTTGACCATGTGGGATCCAGCCACCCTACTGTCCCCACCATTTGCTGGCCCTAAGCCAACTTACTTAATATGCCTCTGATCCCCTGCTTCTGACAAGAGCACTTGAAAGTCAAAATAATTTTTAACAAAGAAGTCCAAAACTCTAGAGGCAGATTGACTTTTATTAATTTTTTAAGAAAGAAGTGAGACTCTGAATAACCCATGAGGCTAGAGCAAATATTCATGTCCAAGGCCCACCTCCAGGCAGTCTCATTCATTGGCCTGAGATAGAACCTGGACATCTGAAGGTTTTTGAAAGTTACCCGGGTTATCCTACTGTTCAGCCAGACTTAGAGCATACTAATTGATCCTAGTCTCTCTACCTATTGGGTTGTCAGAAAAGTCATGATGCATTTTTGCATAGAAAAACAGAAAAAATGCATCATGACTTTTCTGACAACCCAAGATTTTATAGGAAAGACAAGTGGAGCCCAGAGAAGTTATCTTCCCAAAATTGCACAATTATTTCATGCCATACTTCTCAAATTCACCTCCTCGGGACTCTCTGACAGTACATTTTTATTTTGTCGTAAATGCCTGGTACAGCTACAGTAGATGTTATATTTATATATGTGTATGTGTGTGTGTACATATATCATTATAGTTATATATATATTTACATATAACTCTATATTGTTTTATGTAGTTATATGTAAATATATATACATGCTATGGATATTATATATAATATATAATGATCTATAATACATATATTCTCAAATATATATGTGTGTGTAGATAGTTGAAAGGAAGATAATTGCTGTTATATTTGTAGCTTAACTTTTCCCTGGAATTATAAAATCATTATTATTTGATGAGGTTAATTAAACTCAAAAGCTGTGAGCAGGACGAGGTCTTTGTCCTATTACATCCTAGATAATAGCTCCGTGTTCTGAGCATCGCTAAGCAGTCATGATATTCAGTCCTCAGTTCCCAGGTTTGACAAGTCCAGAGAAATGGCAGGGAACTCAGCAGTGCACAGAGAGGAACTGTGACCCAGGAAGGACAGTTGACACTCACAGTGAGGGAAGCGTTCTGACTTCCTTCTCAATACCAAGCCACATCCTACCAATTGCACACCCAAAATAGCCACTTCCGGGCTTTCAGAGCACCTGTCAGTTCATCTGGACAGCTCACAAAGTCAGACTAGAGAAACCAAGAAGATACTGAGATGCTAATGCTCTCATAAAGGTGTTGTTTTACTAAGTGGGTTTTACTAAGTGTGTTCCAGGTAACTTTATTTTTATATTGTATTTCCTTCATGGAAGATAGTGGGTAAGAGAGAGGGAGAGACACGCGCCCAACAGGGTCTTGTCATGTTGCGATCCCCTTCCCCCAGCCCCCCAGCTATTCAGGGTCTTGGGTATACATGCCCATGTTTCAGGTCAACCTGGTATGTGAACTCCCCCAGTGGCTTCCAGCGCTGCCACATGGGCCACCAAGGCTGGGCCTATCCAGGTCACTTTGTCTACTGCCTTAGAGAACAA